GAACAAACTTGATACTCACAAATATAACCGTGGAGTGTATTGTTGGAAGTGTAGTTAGAAAATGCCCAAAAATTCCTGGAATTCCTTTGACCAACTCATTATAAAGTAGACCAATTCCAGGAGCTCGTATTGTCCCAAGATTGCAGCCCAATTCTCGCATTAAATTTGTCAACATCTTTTTCTTGACTTCAGTTTCATACTTGAGCTTGCTTCCATAGTTCCAGACGAACATTATAAAAAACATTATTGCAGCAAAGACCAATATAATCCAACTTCCATCTGTTATTCCGCACAAAACGGATGAAAAGAAAACCAACTCCAAACCCAAGAATACTACCAGGAAACTCAACACTACGATGATGTGCATCTTCCATATAAGAAGCATAACGAGAGTGACTAAAATGGTGGTCATCATCGTTACCACTAGTTCAGCAATGTCTGAAAGATGACAAAGGAATAGGCTGAAAACAAATACTCTTTTATGTTATGTTAATAATATATATGATATATTACAACATTATTGAAGGTAGAACCAAATAATTGGGTCCTCTTAAACAAACACTCTTTTAGTCAACGAGATGTGTGAATTTTTTTAAGACGCGGGAAACAACCAAGAGCAGTTGACTGTTTTATGCAAGAAAATGTAGCTGTTGTCATAGTCCTACTTGCAATAAGTGCAACAATATTAGCAATAAGAAAAGTTGGCCAGAATACACCACCTATAGACAAAGAACAGTATTACACCAAAGCTTATGTGAAGTGTAGAGACATTGTTAGGAATGCAAAACACAAATATACACACACTGACACCTACTTGGAATAGAAGAAAAAAAAGGCCTCGCCAGCATCAACATGATGTTCCATAAGGTATGCAGCTTGACCCAAATAACGCAATAGTAGGCATGGCAAAACAAGGAACACAAATGTGAGCTGCAAACAAACCAGCATCAGTTTCATCAATGTATAATTTGATATGACCAAAGAAATAAATGAAGTCTAACCAGAAGCCATGATAGATGATTTGTAACACCCTTACTTCCCCATATAAAAATACATAATTAATCAGAGTAAATTAACATGCTTTCACAAAAGGGCGTCACACAATTTTACAAATCTCAACATTCACCTGTCATACTCATGTAACATTGAAATAGATAGTCATGCTATTAAATTTTCATCTTGCGTGTAGCAGCGGATTCAATTTATTTACATAAATCTCTTTTCACATAACAATCATGTTCATCTCATAATCATCAACACTTGGGCACAGAGGCCATTATCATAATATTTCAAATACATTTAAAACACAGCTTAGAATACATAATATATCTCTAAGGCATAAACCCAACGATCCCAGTGTTACATAACCAGAGCATGACCTGACCCAACATAATTAAATACTAAACAGTTGCACCAACAGCGAACTCGCAACTACTAGCAGTACTACACCAAGATACCTGCACGATATCATAAAGGACATCATTCCAGCAGAAGGGTGAGAAACATTACCATAATAATCAAAGTACATAATTATATATAAATGCACAAGTACCAAATACCTATATTTCACAGTTTCTCACTATAATGCATATTAACACCATAACCATGCATATAATAGATTCCCGCCATATCAAATACACATATCATACTCCTCACCACAATGCCTCCCAATTCACTAACATACATCATAATGTATATATGTATAAAACCAAGCATTTCATCATGCATACATTCACAATTACAATTAATCCACATAGACTTATACATTATGTTTCATTTACCACAATTCATATAAACATATACAATCATACTTAATCAGCAATTCATTAGTCAATATCTTTCACATTTATTCATTCACAATCCGCATTTCAACAATTCATAGACACATGCGTATTTCATATACCACTCGTAACCATTCCATGTAACTCATATAAAAATCATCCAATAACACCAATCCCCTTTCGGGAATATGGGTACGTCACTTATACCCTACCAGGAACAACATCTTAATCATTCTACCCCGGTAATTACTCCATTGGGAACGACATATTGTCATTCTACCCTAGTGAGTACAAATCTTTCACATTTACATTATTCTCACACCTACCAAGCAAAACATATATATATATATATATATATATATATATATATATATATATATATATATATATATATATATATATATATATATATATATATATATATATATATATATATATATATATATATATATATATATATATATATATATATATATATATATATATATATATATATATATATATATATATATATATATATATATATATATATATATATATATATATATATATATATATACTATTACATCCTCAGGCATTATTCATAATTCTTCATATACACCACAACCAAGCACATTCAATCATGCTTCTATAATTCACATCATTCTCACATAAACATTTACAATCATTTTATACATCTCAATCATTCCATACATCACAATGTATCCATATAAGCATCTATATAAAAATAGAACATCAAGCATATACAATATGCATTCACCAATGTTTACATCAATCCATGTAAACCCACATATAAACATATATTCACAAACGTATATATACATATCTTCAAGCATACTCACTCATGCCATTATCGCAATTCGCGTTAATTCACATAAACATACACAATATGTTCATATTATTACCATTTCACATAAACATTCACATACATGTTTATTTCATCAATGCATCATATAAAGATGAATTATGCAACTCATAGAGACCGACTCACGACTCTATGCAGATGCAAATGCGGTATCGACTCAATTCAGCAGGTTCAATTGAAGAACCAAAAATAACCATCGCTCACACCCCACAAGGGCACACGAGGTTCTGCAGATTCTATGCACAATCAAATACAACCATCGCAACATACGAGGTTCTGCAAATCCACCGAGGGATCAATAAATAACCATCGCTAACACCCCACAAGAGCACACGAGGTTCTGCAGATTCACCGAGGAATCAAATATAACCATCGCAACATACGAGGTTCTGCAAATCCACCAAGGGATCAATAAATAAACATCGCTCACACCCCACAAGGTCACACGAGGTTTTGCAGATTCACCGAGGAATCAATCAACACAAGAATGCATACCATGATGCTTCACATGCAACATGACTCATGACACTCTTGAAATGCACACATGTTTACAAACATACTCATGCATTCGTCACATTCATCGCATATATTCATTATGCACTCACAATATATACATGTCAAAATATATACATATATTCATCATTTCATTCACACTATTCAAACATGGTTCACATTTATAATCATCATACATCACATACCAGCACGTATATTCAATATGCATTCACAATATATATATATATATATATATATATATATATATATATATATATATATATATATATATATATATATATATATATATATATATATATATATATATATATATATATATATATATATATATATATATATATATATATATATATATATATATATATATATATATATATATATATATATATATATATATATATATATATATATATCACAATGCATATATACATATGTTCATTATTCATCTCATATCGCTTCATTCTAAATTCACATTTATAACTCACAATTATCGTGCCAAACGGCAACAAACTCAATCCCATCCATCATGCATTTTGGATCAATTTAAACAATGCATCACATATGCCAAAAGGCCACATATTCACAATCAATTCATAATCTAGGATTCACGCCATACGGCTACCCACAACACCTCATATAACAGCGCACAAGCTATACGCTACATAATTATATCAAATACATCAACATTGGATGGAACCAACCAAAATAAAACAAATCCTGCCATATTCACTAACCTTCGCCTGGCGAAGCCTCTAGCGAACCTTCACTACCTCGTTCGCCTGGCGAACTTACCAGCGAAGACCACTGGGAGTTATTCTGGAATTACTCGCTAGCACACTCGCATGGCGAACCTTCGCCGCACTCATTCACCTGGAAAACTTGCCAGCAAAGACAGGGTGGATGCTACTGACTTGGTTCGCTACTGCTCGCTGGGCTTCGCCCGGCGAAGCTTTGCTGCCATTCGCCTGGCGAACCTGCGAACTCATAATTCCCATGGCTGTCCAAAAGCCCAAACCTCACAAACTGACCGATTTAATCCAAATCAATTCCAGTAGCACGGCCCACTCATCACTCGATTATACTACACCGTCTAATCCAAATTCTAACCGATAAAACTCAGTTTCTACCGATGAAACTCATTTTGACCTAAAATGGAAAATATCCAAAAACACCCAAACAATCCAACACACATAAACAATCATACACAATGATTAAGATAGTAAGATTTCACACCCTTACCTTGATTAATCGGAAGCTAGAGGATGTTCTTGATGATTCTCCAAGTTTCCTCTTTTTCTCTTCCTTTTCTCTTCTTCCTCTTTCTTTCCCTTTCTTTTCTCTTCCTTCTTTCTTTTCTTTTTCTTTTCCACTTCCTCATATATACCTTTCTCTTTATTTCTTTCCAATATATTTACTCTCTCAAAACATCTATCAGCCCATTAAACAAATATCTAATTATTCAAATAATTAGAATAATCCAAATAAATCAATTAATTAACACAAATAATTAATTATTGAAAGTTGGGTTGTTACATGATTCATTACCTGAACTGCTCCAACAGAAAAGTAGCAAAGATCTGCAAACATGGCTTCAGAGCCTGTAACATTATCCAATAACAATGTTAATTGATAGTGGAAAGATTTACGCATGTCAGAAATAGTTAAATGTAAAATGCATATTTACCACATCATAATAAGTGGGGTAGAATGGGATGGATTAGATGTAGCGAAATGAAATAAATCTCCATATAGTTGTCCGGATATTTTTGTATGATAAACAGAGTAAAGCTTTCATTCTATTGTTTAAAAAGTGGACCGGTTGACAACAAGACTAATAAATATCATACCCTAAGAAAAGCAGAGAAAGATAGAGATGGTGGATGAAATAGTATGCAATGTGTTCCATAAGAACGGGAATAGAAGTATGGAAGGTAATCATACTCTTCAACTGATTTTCCTGCATCTGCTGCAATGATGGCCTGTATGAAAAATATTATAACAAAATCAGGAAACAAAGTGATTTCAAAACTAGGTTCTGGACCAAGGTTGTGCATAATTGGAGAAGCATAAATCTGTAGGGAAGTTGATTACCTTTGCAGCCTGCTCAGCTGATTTACGAACATGATCAACGTGTTCAACTCTTCTCACGTCATTGTATAATTTCAAAGGGAAGGTAGCAACATCACCAACGACATATACATCAAGAACACTTGTTTTGAAGAAGGAATCAGTCTGCAACCACAACAAATGCTATCATTGATTGATATCAATATTAAGATTAATTAATCACAACTTAAAGGGTTTACTAAAGCTTGATACAAGCCTCTGGATATGGAATCACTAACCTTGATTCCACCATTCTGCTCATCAACCTGCCCTTTGAATAAGGATATTAGAGGCCTTCCTGCAACACCAACAACAACAATATCTGCTTCCAGGACCCTACCATCCTTCAGTTTGACTTCTTTTACCTGACAGATGCATGAAAGTCAAGTTAAATTTGATTAAGAATTTTAAAACACCATTACATGACAGTATTCCAAGATCACATGCAACCATACCTCTCCATCGGAGTTGGAAGTGAATCCAATAGCAACTGTCCCTTTAATGATATTGATACCTTTATTGGCATAATATCCCTCATAGAAAGAAGCAATTTCAGAAGTAAAAAGTCTTGGCACTACAATATTGGTTTTAAAAAGATTAGTTTAAAAATTTAGTATGCACTGATCAATGTGAGTGAGAAATGTAACAAGAAACATTTATAAATGTCCACTTACTACACCAAGGTTCTGGGTAGACCATGGTAACATCAACATTATTGAGTTTCAAAACTGCACTAAACTCCAATGTATCCTCCTTCGACAACCACAGCTTTTCCATTCTTCTTTGCTATGATTGCCTCGTACAATTTGTCAGCATCATCAACCTCCCTCAAGTAAAATATATTTTTGGCACCAGCTCCTTGTAACACCCCCTTTCTATACCCCCAAATAAACAATTAAATCATTTAGGCATTTAATAAAAGTTTCATCAGAGTACAAGTTAAAACATGGGATAAAAGAGGCGCGTCACATTATCCATGAAACGAAACATAAACAATACCTGCTCATAAAGATATGTAACAAAAGGGGTAAATCTCAACTAAAAACAAAGCATAGCGCTTAAAACCCACATATCAACATTTAGAATAAAGCGAAAACATCTAAACATTGAAATCACTTCATTAACATAAGCATCATATACATCATTCAGATTAATTCAATTCATCAGTTGAGTTTACAAAACATTCAGCAGCAGATACATACACAAATGTATCACAAAAGAATCAAAACAATTGCTAACTACCCAGTGTTACATATAAGAGCCATCTGACCAAAAGAAATGAAGACTCGCTTCACAAAAGACCTCCAGCATCCTACTCTGCAATGCCTCATAGAGCATTATAAAATAGCAGAAGGGTGAGAAACATTATCATAGCAAACAATGCATAAATATATATATATATATATATATATATATATATATATATATATATATATATATATATATATATATATATATATATATATATATCATAAAACACAATTATAACATACATTAATGCTCAAATTCACAATTAAGATGACTTTGTTTTGGCTTATTCTTTTCTTACTTTAGGCGTATTCATTGTTAATTTACTTTTTCACATAAAAAAGTGTGATGAATCATTGGTTCTGCGAGCCTAAACAATTATATCCCTAACACAAAATTGTCAACTTATTTGCTGAAATATTTACTTAACTAATCTTGGAATAAATCACATGTAAAAGTTTATTGACTTGAGTATATAAATTCTCCTTTCCCAATTTATAATTCTTGTGAAATAGTAATACTAGTTTGGTCTATATTTTGTAAATTTAAAAACAAACTCAAGCATATAATGAAATTTAAGACTACACCAATCTCATGCTCCTACGGATCTCTTTTTGTTGCACCCATGATGTGAATAGATATATCTAAAAACGGCTGACTGACGTACCTCACTTTGAAGACAAACCTATTGAAGAATTCCTTGAGTATTTAGTTGATTTTATGGTCAACAAGATTGGCTGCAATAGATGAAAAAGCATATGTTAAACACTCTATAAGTGATAAGACTCTTACAAAAGGCAAATATGAAATAAAAGGGATTTCCTCTACAAAAGGCAGAGGATATTTACAAAAGGTAAGTTGAATCCCATACAAAAGGCAGAGGGAACTTGCAAAAGGAGATGATAATCTTCATGTATAAGGTAGATGGAACATGCAAAAGGCAAGAGAACGTCATGATACCTCACAAGCACAACGGCGAAGATGAAGTTCTCGAAATATGGCAATCACATGGACTTGCATAAACCTACGTCAGGTGTCTAAATCATTGAGAAGAGAGTAAGATCTACGTCCAGTCCCTTACTTTGTACTCAGGATGCAAGGTTTTAATGAGTATAAACTTCTCGTGAAATAGGCAACAAGGACTTACAAAAAGTAAGTAAGGAGACATTTCCCTTACAAAAGGTAATGTGAACTTTTGTTATTGATGTACAAATAGTATATAAATAGATTTTGCTTCTAGAGAAATGGTTCGCAATTTCATTTATGTTTTCTTTATAATTAACACATCTGAGTCAAAGTGATATAGAATTTGTGACAAATGTATGAAAATTTGTCCCTCTTGTAAGAAGTCTGGTGTTCTGGACTAGGTTGGGACCTGCCTCTCAGTCGGGCAGGATCAACCCAACCCTATGCTGATGAGGCACAGCAAGACCCAATTCCCCTCTGTCGGGCACGAGCCTTAACAAGGCATATATGTCGGACAGACGACTCCCTTGATGGGGAGGCTCACACGTTTTCCCCATGTCCTCCACGTGGCCCCCACGCGGGGACTCGTCATCAGGAAACTACCCACCTCCGAAAGAATAGGCCAACCCATCTTCCGAAGATCACGGGGCAGTTGATCAAGGGCGAAGACTACATGCTGGTCTTCACTACGCCACGTAAGCCCTGGCAGTTACTTGGGTTGGGCCTGGCAGTCTGACCCAATACACTGTAATCGTTAGCCCTGCACTGGGGGCACACTATAAATGCCCTCTTTCACTAGAGGGTTAGGTAACTTCTTCCTCACACCTAATCTATGTGTTTGCTTTCTCTCTCATCCTTTATTCACTTAAGCATTGGAGTGTCTTGCAGGTACACCCCCTCTTTCCCCACAACTCTGGTGAAAACAGCAATCCAGTGAGGCGTGGCAGACCATTGATACTTTCTGATCAGGTAAGATCAGTGGCGCCGTCTGTGGGAAACTTTTGCTTCCCCGTCCCTCCTCATATCCCATCATAGCAGCCCAGGAACCAAAGCAACCACCAACATTTTCATCTCAATCATGGCCAGCCCATGTAACGACAATGCACCGGGATCCGCCTTTACCCCCTTCTCCAACGAGGACGCTCGAGAGGGAACAACTGTCGCGCTCTCTCCCACGGAGACACCGCCGCCCGATTTCTCTCAGTTCGTCTCCTCCCCCACAGAGACACCTTCGACGACACTCTGTCAGCCTCTCTCCCCCGAGGAGACACCGTCAAAATACTCTATAAGCCTCTCTCTCCTGCGGAGACACCTTTGTCAGGCTTACATCAGTCCCTTGTCTCCCCCACAGAAGACACGGTACGTAGAGGACTCCAGGAGCCCATCTCCTCGACCGCCAGGGCGCCGTCCCCATCTTGAGCGACCCCAACCGACAGTTTATCACAAGAGGGACAGGTCACCTCCTCGAGAAAAGCGACGTTTCCCAGCTCAGAAGAAGAACAAATTCGTTGCAGCCTTCTCCAGACCGAGGGCCTAGCCGAAGAGAACCTATTCACTCTCTTCTCTGCCACGATCCTAATGACAGAGGCAAACATTAAGGTGTACATAAACAAAGTTGATTATAACTCAATTGTACAAACCTTCAATATCAAGTTACTGAAACATAAAAGTGTACATTAAGATCCAACACCAATCCTCTAGGGGCATTAGTGTGAATAAACGTCACGAAACCCAAACACTCTAAGATCTTCAATGGGAGTGTTTTTCTTCCAATGCAGGTTTTGATCTCTTTATATAGCAAATAACTATGAGTTTTTCCCTTATGAATCTTCAGATATTTTCGTCCAGAATCTTTGCACAATCTATTGGATATTTGATTTGCTCCATGAATATCTTCAACAAGATATGATTTATTTTTAATTTAAATTCAAATTTACATGTTGATTGAAATCCCGAATTAAACTTCATACAATTGTCAAACAAATCATCTAATCGTATTGTCAAATCAATAACAATGAAATCTTTGACCAATCTTATGCATAACACACTTCAAAACATAGCATTCTAGTGCCTGTTGCACAAGGCCCAAATATCGTACCAACATACTTGAGCAACGCGCCCAACATGTAACCTTTCTGCAGATTCATACAATTTTAGGATGTTAGACCAATCTAGAACACTTGGACACTTCTCCAATTTATTGTTTTGCTAAAATACAATCAATCCAAGGACCAATCTAATAAGAACAACACACTCGAGACACATTGATAAAAAGTACCATAAATACAAAACACGTACTAGTATCCTATAAGTATTTATACGTATACTTCACCATTTTAAAATTACGTATATATCATAAGACGAAATACACTTGGTGAAATTATATACGGCACCACATACATTCTATTATACAAACAAAAAGATAATCAAGACTATTGATGTTTTTTTTTAGAATAACCATGTATTTCAATTAAATTACCGCATAAATGAGATATTCAAAAAAATTTCCAAATCAACTACATTTCAGCATGCAGTCGCCATATGATTTGGCGACACAGGCAAGTTGGAAAACGGGCTATAGTGCAGTCGCCATATGATTTGGCGACACAGGCAAATTGGAATTTGGGCTTTAATGCAGTCACCCATTCATTTGGCGACACAGCTTGGACTTTAGAGTTTACGCATTTTACCTATAAATAAACTTAAATTATTTAGGTTTAAATAAAATAAACTTAAATTGATATAAATATTTTTTAGGTTTAATAAATACTTTTTTGGTTTAATAAATTGATATAAATATTTTTTAGGTTTAATAAATACTTTTTTGGTTTAATAAATTGATATAAATATTTTTTAGGTTTAATAAGTATTTTTTTTATACTTTTAGGTTTAATATAAATATAATTGTGAAATAATTTTAAAATATAGTTTTTAAATAATAATTATTGTTTTAAAATTATAAATATTTTTAAAATTTTAAATTATAAATCAAATTAAATAAAAAATTAAAATTGATTAACCATTGAATTTTAAAGTAAATAAATTGATTTAAATTATAAATTTTAAAACATAATAAATGTAATACCCCAAATTTTGCCCTAAGATTTGTCGTTTCATTTTGCATTCCATTGCATTTATGCATTGCACTTAACCAGTCACTAACACTAACAGGTTTGGGCAGTGGGTTGATTCTTGCAAGAAAATATCGTGTGACGCGGTCTTTGGTTCATGAAGGGTAAAATGGTCATTTGTTCGCAGTCGGCTGTCAAATTACGAATTTTGAGCTGTGATCGGGAAATTTGGACCGTTTGGTCTGGTTGATGTGAGTCAGGGCCGTTTGATCTGGTTGATGAGAGTTGATCGGAAGTGGTGGCAGAAACGGGATTGGTCGGATAAATCGGAGGAATTAGGAATTAATAAAAATATGTAATTTCATTTCGTTTTCATTTCACTCAAATCAATTGTATGGCATTTTTTTATTTTCATTTTATTTTATTTCGTATTGTCATTTTCATTTCATTTTCAATTCTATTTCATTTCAATTCTTATTTTCATTTCATTTT